TGTGTGTAGCAACAGAACGGCCCTCTTTCACCTCGGTCAGTCGAATTGGTGACGCTGTGTCTGAAGAATGAAGCTCACGTTCAGTCTTGATTGCCAACTACAGTAACCTTGCTTGACCACGTTCATAACAGCGTGGAGCCATAGCAAGCGTGCTGTGTCCGGCGAATCTTGTATGTCTGTCCGGATAGTAGAAAGCATACGGCCGAGCTGGTTCTGGCTGAACAGATACTCTATCGAACCTCGCTAAACCCATGAGGAGCTGCTCCTCACCCTCTGAGGGAACCGGTGTCTCTACTGCATCCCCAGAAAGCTCCTTCGTCCGGAGGTAGACCTTGGCGTTCGAGAGCTTGGGAGTCGTCGGGACTGCAGTCGAAGAGCAGACTCCGCTTGCCTGTAGCGACCAACTCATCAGCCAGCTCCGGATGCCTAGGAAACACTCCGTTCCAATCGAAACGAGGGAAGGGCATGGGGGCACACACCTTGCGAACTTGTCCCGCAAAACGGTGATGACAATCTTCAGTCTGCACTTCTTCCACACGTCGGGATCCAATCCCTCTCGCATCGCATTGATGGCAGAAGCGGCCGTCGGAAATTCTGCGAAGGAAGTCCTGAAAGAACGTACCCGACACGCTGAACGACGACCATGAACGTACGTCTCGTCCCGACCCGGACAGAAACCTCGGACTGATGACTCGTAGTGATTAGCCAGGAAGCCGAAGGCAGGACCACTAAAAGTGTCTATCGGGGGGCCTCCAGATGTCGCTGTCGACTCCGCAGTAGACGCCATGCTAACCTACTCCACCTGAAATATCTCCGAAGTACTCCACGGTCGGGAACCCAAGAGCAACGGAGTGTTCAGAAACGTCACGAAGTGTTCGGAAACACCGACGTGGAGGCGCCTCGATCCGACATGGCTGCATGATCGTGAGACGGTATGAGGAGAATGTCTATCCAATAGGGAGGAACGGACACCTCCTCCACCACTTCGAGGAGTCCAGAATAACTCCTCTCATGCTGGTGGCAACTTCCCTATGGAAGAAACTGGACTTCACACTGTTTGGCTTCTGACATGAGGACATTGTATGAGCCGACCTGAGCAG